TGAAACCTGGTAGTGTTTTCACAGTGGTTACATATTATACATATGAATGATACAAGAAAGTTTATTTAAAGTCTCATACATGTAAACAAAGAACAATTGTGAATGAGCAGGTCATTTTAACTTAACCCCTGGCTTTTAATTACAGTGCCAGTTTCCATAGGTTCATTTGTTGCCAAGGTAATTGCAATAATTTGTATATTTTACATTTTGTTGTATTTCTAAATAATGAAAAAATAATTGATATCATAAATGACATTGTAAACAAAGAAATATTAACAATGAATTATTATTTCAGAATTTTTAACACCAACAACCTGTGGATAAGTCTAGAAGCCATGAAGAGAGTAGTGGATGAGAAAACACTAGATATGGAAATCATTGTCAACCCTAAGGTCAGTAACCAAAAAGCTGTATTTAATGTAGGTCAGTCATTAAACAATACATCAAATTTAAATAACGAATTCAGTCTGGAGAAGAAACAGTTATCTTGATGTCAGTGTATGAGTTGAATCCTCTTCACTTAATACAGTTGTGGTATTACAGGAAACACAATGAGTAGTAAAATAAAGCTATTTGTTGTTACAGACACTTGACAACGGCCTCAATGTGATACAGCTGGAGACGGCCGTGGGGTCAGCCATCAAAAGTTTTGAAGGTGCTCTAGGTCAGTAATTTACCATCTTCAAAACAAGGAAGAAAATTAAAGAGAACATGAGTTGCAAGGCAATGATAAACAGAACTCTCAAGGTTCGAGTTCAAATGTAAGGCAATCATTAACAGAACTCTCAAGGTCCGAGTTCAAATGTAAGGCAATGATAAACAGAACTCTCAAGGTCCAAGTTCAAATGTAAGGCAATGATAAACAGAACTATCAAGGTCAAAGGTCAAATGTAAGGCTATGATAAACAGAACTCTCAAGGTCAGAGGTCAAATGTAAGGCAATCATAAACAGAACTCTCAAGGTCAGTGGTCAAATGTAAGGCAAATATAAACAGGACTCTAAAGGTCAGAGGTCAAATGCAAGACAATGATAAACCGAACCCTAAAAGTCAGAGGTCAAATGTAATGCAATGATAAACAGAATTTCAAGGTCAAATAAATGCAAAATTTCCTGTGAACATAACTTCAAACTGTGATAGATATCTTGATGAATTTGAAGGTTCCCTTATGAAGAAGGTGAACGGTGCATTGTTATTAGGTTACTGTGATCTTGACTTCAAAGTCAAATAAATGAGGTCTTATAATGCAACATTTCTAGCGAAATCTTGTCCAGGCCTTCACTAAAACTGTCTAAAGATATTTTCATGAAGCCTGAATTATACCTGCATCATTCCCAGGAGACATGCACTGCACATTGATTAGGTCACAGTGACCTTCATCACAAGGTCAAAGGTCAAATAAGTGCAAAAATTCGAGTGAAATCTTGTCGGGATCAAAATTATTCAAGATATCTTGAGAAAATGTATCTGCATCACCCACTGAAGGTGTGACTGTGCAGTAGTGTTTATTGTGACTAGATAGTTGATAAACACAAACAGTTTTGTTCTGTTTTCATTTGACTAGATATTACTTGAGTGACTCTTTTACCTTTGTAGGTATAAATGTACCTAGACGCAGGTTTTTACCTGTCAAGACGACCTCTGACCTGCTGTTGGTGATGAGTAATTTATACAACATGAGGACAGGCTCTCTGGAGATGAACCCTAAACGGTGCTTCCCCTCCGTCCCACTTGTCAAATTAGGCTCTCACTTCAGTAAGGTAGGTAAACCTGTACACCTGGTATCTCTGGGATAGTGCTATTTCCACCGTGACTTACGTCTTCATCACGATTACTAATATGTCTTTATTAACATGAGCATTTCTGTCCTTCAGGTGAAAGATTTCCTGTATAGATTCTCCAACATTCCCGATATGTTGGAACTCGATCATCTAACGGTGTCTGGAGATGTTACCTTTGGCAAAAATGTCACCCTCAAGGTCAGTAGCAAATGTCATCATTGGGAAGTAAACATGTTTTGTGAATCAGTACAAAAAATAATGGAAATGGTACAATTTATATTACTTATTAGCTCACCTGGTCCATAGGACTAAGGTGAGCTTATGCGGTACTGTGGCATCCGTCGTCCTACTGTCAACAATTTCGTCAAACGACTTCTTCTTAACCACTATAACTGTAATTTATCCACATTTGACAAGCATTCCTATGTAGTGGATACCTGGAGATCTGAGGGGTGGGTTTATTTTCCCTTTAAACACCATATTTCAGTGGTAAAAATCTAATATATATAATATCACTGTTTATAACAGGGAACAGTCATCATCATAGCCAATCATGGTGAGAGAATTGACATCCCCTCTGGATCTGTGTTAGAAAACAAAATTGTTTCTGGAAATCTCAGAATTCTGGATCACTAGTCTACCTGATGTTGATGCTGCTCCCTCAGACTTTCCATAACACAGCCTGGGATACAAAAACACGAGGGCCCAACCTACAACAACAACACGGGATCTTGAATACAACCAGAGCCCAACCTACAACAACAACACAGGATCTTAAATACAACGAGGGCCCAACCTACAACAACAACACGGGATCTTAAATACAACAAGGGCCCAACCTACAACAACAACACGGGATCTTAAATACAACCAGAGCCCAACCTACAACAAGAGCGCAGAAACACAACGAAAGATCCCAAAACAACAAGGGACACTAAAATAAGTGGAAAAACGTGAATGTCAATGGATCCTTAAGTAAAAGCAGGGATCTACAATGGATCCCTACAGAGACGTCCAATATTTTAACTTAATGGAACTTTTATGTACTAAACATAATACTAATGTCAAAAATGTTATTTTGTTGTCTGTTGATGCTTAAAAGTGTTATTTTGTTTGTAAATTTTAATTTTAAGAAAAGCATTTAAACACTGAGTTATTTCCTTTAAATGATATGTATTGTCCAATGCTTCAACTTGTTGCCATGGTTCCAGCAGACCATGACAATATGTCTGTAGTATAGACATCGAGTGTGAAGCATGTGTGTTGTACCGCGTGTTTAAACTCCCCTACTAGTCTGCTGGTTGTGTACTGATTATTCCAAAGCAATGTACACTTCGGAATAACAGATAAAACTTTGTTGTGACTTGTGTGAAAACTTCCCTAAAGAGATACAGTATTGTCACACCTCGTTTTACCTATATTACATGGGTGGGTTTTGAGAGGCTGTAGTGTTTATGTGTGGTGTCGTCTGTTCTGGTACGTAGATATTGTAGCTTGTTAGCCAGAGTTGTTTCACATCGTTACGGTGATTATGAGATTATCACGATGAGCAGGGATAGGCTGACTACTAATGTGAAATAGAAAGCTTCTCACAATATTTAATCATCATAATTAAGAATAGTTTTCCTTGGAAGTCCCATACCTGTTCAGTATATGATTATTTGATTAACTATGCAGAATGTCCAGAATTACAAACAGAATGTATGTTACAGATATGTACCAGACAATCTTTAGGCTATAGAATATAGGAGATCTAGAGTGCTATTTGTGATTGCTGGAATGAGAACTGTTATGGATTACCAATAGTTTGTTATTAGCTTCTAGCTGGAATATAAATTGTTGTTACGGATTATAAAAAGTTGTTATGAGGATATTTTGCTTTTTGCAGTAGCAGGTATAAAGACTGACATTTAGTGTTACCGCTTTATTTCAGGAAGTCGGAGTCTGAGCAATTACCTACAGAATTTTACAATGTATATGTTGCAGCGTGTGGAAACTAGAGTTTTGATATGGAGGCGTTGCTGTCAGAGAGCATTGTAGAACTTTACAATATAACTCAGCAATGTAGCTGAGCCCAGCTTATTTCGACATGAAAGAGAATTGTCAACAGGGCCGAAGTGAGGTGAAATAGGATGTGTATGTGTATGGCTGAACTGCAGTAAGATAGGATATAGGGAATCCAGTTGTGTGCGTATCTGACAACAAAGAGGAGGTTGAAGGGAGTGGTGTTGGTTCATCATCACTCTATTGACTAGGAGCAGCGCCATTTATGGATAGAGAAATTTTCTGTCGATATTTTATGTTCTTGATGCATAATTTTGAATTGTTTATCTAATATATATTTAGTTTGTTGGTATAAACACATGAGTGGTGTGGTAATCATGAGTGTATTTCACGTACATTCATCGTTATATTTGTATTTCAATTGTTGCAGCATATCTACATCATTTACACAAATCCAAGCAGAATCTTTGTCGAATAAAAGAATTACCAATGGACACAGGAAAATACTGAGACTTTTTTAGATATCATAATGAATAAAGGGGTATATTAACTCTAAACATTTTTATTGAAAAGGGTAATTGTAACCTGTAAATTTACTGTATTACAGTGTATAGTGAACCATCTAGTCACTAGTTATTGCGCAGCTAGAGTTTTTCTTTGGTCCGTACAGCACTGTTGTAATAATTGGCAGTCTCATTATCTCCACCCAGCAGAGGCACTTGGATTAACTTTGGAGAAAATCTCGGTAACAAATATATTCAAGTTTGTTTTTATTTTGATAAAACATAAGATATTGATTGATGCTAATTATACACTTTTTGAATACCTTGTTGGCGTAACATGAGGTTGCTGGTGGTGTGGATATGTGAGATATCAGACAGCTGAGTCAATGGA